TCTGTCTCAAAAATCGTTTTCTTATACCTCGAAACAACTTTTCGCCATACATTTCCTTCTAGCGACTAGTAATGTTTGCCCCCTGACGATCCCAGAGTTCTTCGCGCAAACACAGGTATCCGATTACTGGCAACTCATTCATTGTACTAACAAGGTAGTTATGCAGCGAAAACGAGCTATAACGAATGGAATACCACAATTGTTTCAGCAAGACGATTAGTGTAGATGACAGATATTTTCTTTTTATTTATTTAGTTCGACATATTTTTCGAACCAAACAAATAGAAACGAAAAAAAAAACAAAAAAAAAAACAACAATAATAATAATAATAATATTAATAATAATAATAATATTAATAATAATAATAATAATAATAACAAGTAAAATATACAAGGAATAAGGCGTAGTTCAAGCTTAATTCCAATTTTGGTTGAAAATTGTAAACATTTACGAAAGATATGCAGACCTACGTTCTTGTTTTGACGTCACAGCCTGACTAGTCCCAGGTCCTAAACCCCCGCGGTTTCTGACCCAATCGGAAGGCAACTTTCACTGCTAAAACGCGGAGAAGAAAAACGATATCCAATTCTTGTTTTCGATTTTCATGTAATGATCTCCTGTAACTTCCATCTAGCAAATAAAAAGAATATCTGTCATATACACTTTAGGTATCTGATACGCTGCAAAAAGAACTTCACCAACTTCTAGTTGATGAAGGAAAGCTGACCTCCGAGGCAAAATTGGAGAAATCGACGTTTTGAGCTTAGTCCCTTCGTGGGAGTAGAGACCAATCTGAACTGAAGTCGCCGGTTCGTGCAGCGTTTATAGAAGCTACAGCCTCAACGCAAAAACTTGACTTTACCCTCATGAGTTCTTTGGCTTTTTCGGTGGCTTCATCGACCTTCCTTTTCTCGTGGTCTCGTTTCTTAAAGGACTCTCGGTTTTGCTTTTCCAACGCGTCCTGTATTTTCCTGTAAAAACAAAAGAAAGGGTTACATTGGAAGCAAACTAAAGAAAGCCCGTTGCCCAATGGATTTTGCGCTAGACAGTGGATTGTGGTGGCTGGGTGAAAACCCACCCCGAGGCCACTGTGTTGTGATCTTAGGATAAACACTGCACCCTCACAGTGCTTCTCTTCTTTTGGGAGTATAAATGGTATCGGCGATCTATAATGGTAACCTGACAAAATTCCAACGGAGGGGAGGGAGATAAATGCGATGGGCAAACATCTCACCCAGAGGAAGTAGCAGTATTCGTAATACACAACAGAAACCGAAGCTAAACACTGACACAGGAAAGCTATATCGTTCCTCTTCACGCAGTAAAACTACAGTTAAAAGCTCCGTGGCAAGTTTAATTTACCGAGCGTTTAACGTATCGGAAAAAAGATTAGTCTATGTACAACGCGACGCGCCGTTGGCAATCGACAAAGTTTGTGATTAGTGTTGTCATATGTTCGTTTTTTTTTCCCATTGCTTATATTAGCCAATCAAAACGAAGTTAAGTCTGCAAGACGGAGAGGGAGTTTCAAAGAGCACGTTTGAGTCTGGGAATGTCTTGAATTTACCACTACCTACACCAGAAACCAAATACTTTCGAAGATACAAGCATTCCCCTGATTTAAGTTATAAAATTCATTTCTTTTTTAAACTTGGAATCAGCATTCCGTACCTTGATCGCGCCAATTCAGCCTGTAAATTCCCAAATTTTGTCTTGAACCATTCTTGAGCTTCACGAAGATTCTCTGAAACCTGAAAAAAATAACCCTTAGTATTTTTTAATTATGATAGGGAACTCGCCGTAACCTCTCTTTGGTTAAGTCTAATTAATCGGGGAATGGCTGGGGTGGCGAAAATGATTAAAACATGGACAGACTTTGAAACCGCGAGACTTGGCCCCCCGTTCACACTGCGCCGGAGAAATTTGAAAGCGCAACTATATTTCTACGGTTAGGGCTGCCGTCCTCACTAATCCGTCACGGAAACGGAGCTTCCCGAAAACGCTCTTCAAACCGAAGGAATTTGAAAACGCCGGCTCTGTGTTTTAGTGTGGACGGAGAACATTTTGAAAACGGAGCTTTTCGACAACGATGACATCACGATAATCACGTGATTTCCCTGCTCGAGTTTCCCTCAAACACAAATCCAAAATGACCGGTGATTGCTGTGTTTTCAACTTTCTCCAGCATGGCGTGGACGGTCCCTTATACTAATGGCCAAATTAAGGCGGATTCCTTTGTTATTTTGCATAAAATCTCACAGCAATGCGGAGTGCCATCATTGCCATCACTGCCAGCGTGTAATTTTTTTTATTCCTGCAATTCCACGATGTATTAGGGTGCTTTTAGCACGCGAGGCATAACCAACAAAAGTGAACAGATGCTGCAAGAGTTTGTCGAGAATGCAACTGTTGTTTTAGCCTAATCCTGTTACATGTAGAGGACGTGGGGGTGGAATAATTAAATTTTACTAATTTTCTTCGCATTTTTTGGTCTGCCCTGGTTAAGTCGAGGTTTTACGCACTGGAGTTACAAAAGCTGTCGAGTGAGTAAGCACTTCATATATGGGTAACTATCTAACTACACTGGGGCTTTAGCCCAGCAGTTTTCTTCCTCAACAGTGTCATTCGTTGTTTAGCGTGAAGCTTCGTTCAATCTACCTCGCAAAAAAACACCTGTTTGTTTTTGACAGCACTGTATGCACGTTTTTCGACTTTTTAAATTACACGCCAAGACTGACAGAAAAAGCTTGTCACTTTTAATTTTAGCATGCTAGTAATTAATAACATTTCATATTCGCAGCTGCAGAAATAAGCGCCTTCCATATATGATGAAATTAAAGCGACCATTTCTCTCTTCTGAAGAGCTAAACACAAAGAGAAATGACAACTATTCTTTTTTATTCAGCCAGGAAGAGCTTTCTAGAGAACAGCACCTTGTTTAATTTAAACAGCAGCAAACTTTGCATGCTGTCAGCGTATAAACTGTCTTGAAGTTCTACAAATACTACTGGTGAAAGTTAAGAAAATGCATCAGTGAACATCGGCCTCGATGAACTGGTGAAAAGTTCAGAGAAGCTTCTGTCTGTGCGTCTTTATGCCATCCTAGTGACCTTTATTTGATATACAGTGGAAGCCCGTTAAAATGGTCGCCAACATCCATGAAAATTTGGCCGTATTAACGAGGTGGATCAAATTTCATGACTGGTCTAGATCTATTTTAGGTGACGTCTTGACAGACATCACAAATGCACTTCTAAACAACTGTCCTTTTCAAAATAAGCATTCGAAATGCAGTCATAATTTTCCAAAAAAGTTGAAACTTCAGTCAGTACATACAATATTAACAATGGAAAGATGAACAGAAGTGCTAACTGCATGAATAGCAAAGTACTTGTCTGATTGTGTCCTTTACTGTTCGTCTCACTTCATCTATCTTCCAGCAGTAAAGAATCGGGTTTAGTGACGAGTTTAAGTAAACTAAAACCACTGTATACAGGTTAACGAGATAAACAGATGGTGATATTACTGCTTTAGCAAAGAACACCAGCGCTATTCCATGGGGTAGAAAACAAGCCATTAACGTGAACTGCAGCCACAGGGCACTGCACACTGCCTTTCTGTATCGCGCTATGTTCAGTTCATCTGTTTGGTTCGGTTGTTGAACATGGTCTTGTACTTGATTTTGATGATGACGGAGGGTGAAGAAAATCTTTGTGTAAGAAAATATCGAAGTTGCTAGAGAGAATAACCCAACTATGTTCATGTACCAAAAAATTATAAAAGGATTCAAAAAAGACATTCCCGTCAGAGCAGTGGACACAACCCAAAACGTAACGACTATCACATAGGTGCGCTTCAGAGTTACAACTTGTCTGTATCTCAGCCCCAGCAACAGGGCGAGAAGTCTGTCCACGCTTATTGCAGTCAGTATCAACAGAGACACTGCGAACAGAACAACGCCTATCACAAACCGTATGACTGATACGTAGCGACAAATTTTCCAATGTTCATTCACTACAGACATTAAATAGATAACGGTAAGAGGCTCGAGAATCAGACCAACACAGAGATCAGTTGTTGCAAGGTTACTTAGCAAGAGTTTGGATGGCGGATGAAGTGAAGACTCCTTGCGAAGAGCNATGTATAAAATTACCTTTTAATTGATGGAAACCTGAAAATGATAGTTTACTACGATAGAAAAACAGCAAAGAGATAATAATAAACCACAAAGGAACAAGGATGGTTAAGGATGGAGAAGATTAACGCGGATAACAAACGACAAACTTGAAAATTTAGGCTAAACTTTTCAAGATGCGCAAACCGTAATGTAGCTCGTTTAGAGAGCCACCAAAAGTGCTTGCTCGCAGGCCAGGCTTTGTACATGCTGCTCAGTGACATGACAAGTCTTGAAAATTTGCTGATTTTCTTTGAATATAATATGAAAATCTGATAAGCTAATGTACCTGTTGTGTTTCGAAGTTGGCCTCTGCTAATTTTCTCTCCGTGTCTTTTCTCGACGTCTCTAAGTCTTTTTCCCGCGCCTGCAGCTTCTTACAATAAAAAGACGACGACAAAGTCAACTATAAGGAAGAATTTAATTCTACAAACGAATAATAAACGTGAAAAAATGAGCAATTATTAGATTCGGTTTTTGTGATATCCAGAATAATTAAGGTCGAGGTAGGGGTTATCAGACGAAGCCGAGGGCTGAGGCTGATAACCCTTACCGAGGTCTACCGAGACCTTGATTATTCTGGATATCACAAAAACCGAATCTAATAATTGTTTTATCATACATTGAACGNTTGTCGACAAATCCTCGCTGAACTCAAAAGCAACCGCGAAGAATTCCCGATTCTGACACTCCAATCGCAGAAATCTAGGTAGCTAAGCAACAACCCAGCCTACAGATACCGCGGACTTAGCCAACTTTCTAACCCTGGTAGCGCTCGCATTGAACGCGGTACACAGCGCAACCGCTTTAATGAGACGCAAGTCCTTCAGCTCAGTAACTCAATTCTACAATTCACCTTATAACGTTGTTCCACATCTTTTCGGAGGTTCTTCTCTCGTTCAAGTTCTTCCTCTTTATCCCTGATAACAGTAACATTGATGCGGGGATTACAATTTTCATAACTTAAAGTTTTAAACGCGCTATCAAACGTTATTAACATCTACAAATAACAGTATTAATACACTGTCAATAATTGGTTATCCAGAGCATGCAACCTACCGCTGAGCTTGAATTAAGGTTTCTAATTCTGTTTGAAGATCAGCAAACTTCGACACAAACTCGCCGATTGTTTTTGCCTGCAAAAACATCAAAAACACAGTGAAAGGACGATTACTGTGAATAGAAAGCATAGCAAGTGACGGCAATGAAGTGTAGTGAAGAGACCAAAGCAAGGTTTTCAACTTAACGCCGTGCAAAGGTTATTTAAACGCTTTTTAGCCAACAAAATAACGGGGGCTTGGATTTCGTCGCTGACGGTTTTAATTCTCTCAAATTATAACACCAGATAAACAAAACAACTATGCGGTTTAAGTGTAGATGGCAAAGTGGAGTACTTGGCTGGTAAATTATAAAGGTTTCTCAGAAAGGTGATCAGTAGCCAAGTCCTCGTCATTATGTCAATACGTAACTAACCACAGAAGCGACGAGAATAAAGAAAATCGTCAACAAATGAATTTTCCCTTCATGTACTATCAAAGTCTCATAGCTAACATTAAAAACATGTACGACATGTGTTAGTAGAATCTAGTTGTTATGACACGAGGAGTACAACTACTAGTAGCTATGAACTAACATACTTGTTCGCTGTTTTTCCGCATGTACTCGTTTTTAACACGCTCCAAGTTGTTTAGCTCTTTCTCGAAATGCTGCAAAAGCAAGAAATAAAACGCTAGCAAAGAATACCTCGAAGAATACCCAACACTCGTAAAGATCAGGCTCAAAAGGCTGTAAACATGACAAATTGTTATACCTCCCAACTGAAGTACGTTTTCCGATTGGAGGAGAACGTGTCTTGTGTCATGGGTCAAAACTCACTAACTCCCTCGGGAAACAACAACTTAAACTTTCGACTCGCACGTGATCAGGTCGAGCTCCTTGAAACCACGGCAAAATTTGTGTGCCAGTAGGCGTCAGGCAAATCATTTTTCCCATTTTCTTCTTTTTTCGATTTGGGAGGTATAACAAAACAGTTATGACTGGCCCTACGGGAAACAGTAACTCTCGTTTCCCCGAGACCCTCAAAGTTCCCCGAGGTAACGCGAGTAGGCGAGAGGAAACTCGCAGCTTCGCGATTGTAGGATAAACATCAATTATAAAGAAGTAAGTTTTTAGTAAAAACAAACATTTCTTGCATTTCTTTCATTATTTTCTACTATTATCATATGCGGTTCAAGGAAACAGTCCTTGTCGGATTTTCCCTTACCTCAGTTTTTCCCTTGGCACCTTCCTCTTCAATATCTTTCGCTTTCTGTGCTTTGCGTAACTGCTCCATTTGTACCTTTTGTGATTTCACTTTAGATTTGTTTTTTGCCAACTGCTGTTCTAACTCCTTAACTTTCTCTTCCAATTTCTTGTTTGACTCTTTGATCTTGTTCTTATAGGCGTTTGCGTCATCCAGGTCTTTCTTTAACTACAAGGACCCGCAGAAATACCAAACAAGCTAACCATTAGATATTACAGTGAATGGGGTTGCGCAGGCAAATCTAACACATGGGACAACGTCCGACTAGCTTTTGCGATTTTTTTGCCACTATGCTGAAACAAGCGACGCAAGTAGAAGCACTAGAGTCCAAAGCAAAAAAAAAAAAAAGAAAAGAAAAACCACACAGAGAAAACACAAGCGCAAGAAGAAATGTCGTTGTTTGCATGGTAAAAGTATAAATCGAAACCAATCGTGAATTGGTTACGTAAGTCTTCAGCCTTATAATAGTGCTGTTTGCATGTTTTCCCGCGCTTGATGTGGGCGCTTGCATGCTTTCCCGCGCTGATGTCAGCGCTTGCTTGATGTTTCCGCGCCTACAGCCGACTATATGATTTTGTCCAAACTTCGCATCAGATTCATTGTGGCTTTTTTGCTTTTGTTGCGATTGGTAAACTAGGAATTTAAAGCAATGATTCATTTGTAAATATAAGTTTACCTTCGCAAGCTCTTTCTTGTGTTTCGTTTTCGTTTCTTGTAACTCTTTCTGTCCTTGCCTTTGCACTTGTTCAACTCTCTCCTCGACCTCTACAGTCTTCTCCTCGTGTGATTTCCGAATTTCATGATCTCTGCGAAAAGTAGAACACGAAACTGGAGTGTTGTCAAATGGACCAATTCTATCTGCCCACAGCATGCCAAAATGACATTTTTTTGTTTTGATTTTTTTTAAATGCAACAATAAAGGAAGCTTAAATGGTTTGTCTCCTACAAAAATATTCTTTTACTTCTCACGAAATTGGAAAAAGAGGAGTTGTACGAAACCGTGAACGGTTGGAAGGGTCGAGAAGGAACTGGCGGAGAGGGAAGTGGCCGAGGAGGGTTGGGGTGGAGGGATGGGAGGGCG